CCTGCGCGTCTCCGGCAGCGCAGGGAGGCGAGCCCGCGCTGTCATCCGAAGTGCGCGCAGCCACGGGATCCTGGCCGGGGTCTGCCCTGAGCACTGGGGACGCGGGGTGGATGGGGACAAGTTGGTTTGGGGGCTGGTGCCAGGGAGCCGAGGAGGGCGCGCGCGCACACACGCGCGCACACCGGCACGCGCGCACACCCCACACGCGTGCACGCACACACGCACTGGGGCGCGGGAGCCCCGCCGAGCGCCAGGGACCCCGAGGCTGGGCCCCCCCCGAACCGCGGCCATGGTTCCTCCCCGCCTCCTGCCTGGGGCAGCCGCACCCTGGGGCGGCCGCGGGGCCTGTGGGCTAAGGGAGCTGGGGTTTCTGGAGCCTCAGCCCTGAGGCCACACACCACACCAACCAGCACCCAGCTACCAGACTACCGCCCACCCGCCAGTCACAGCTCAGGCACGGACTACAGGTGCACGTGCACACACCACACGGCAGACGTACCACGTGAAGGCACGTGGACAATCACAGACACACATGCACACACATGTATAGTCACACCACACACACACACACACACGTTGGTCACCCATGAAAAGGTGGGCAAGGAGGCGTTCCACACCAACCCCCGTACAGAGAGCAGGTGTCTGCCCCCCACCTAGCCCCACACAGCCCCTGGTGCCCAGCGACGCAACCCCCAGATAAAGTCTGTGTGTCTACATGGCCACAGGCGGTCGGGGCGCTGTGTCCAATACCCCGGCAGCATGTCTGTGGAGAACAGGGCACGCCAGGCTCGGTGGGACCACTGGGCCCCACCTCATTCTCACATGCCTCGGTCTCTCCGCCTGCAACCCAGGCGTGGCCAGCTATGTCCCAGAGGCGTGTGAGGACGTCCCTGCACACACTGACCTCCAGCGGCCTCTGCCTCGCCTTCGCAAACAACTTTACACAACAGCAGTGTCGAAAAGAGCAGCTGTCCTCCCAGACTGGCATCTCAGTGTCACAAGGGCTGTCCAAGCAGGCCCCATGGCTGGGAAATCCGTGTCTTAGCCAGAAAAACACAGGGACCTTGGAGCCACGGCTTGGGGTTCGGGCGGTAGGCGAGGCAGAGGGGCTCTGCCACCCTGGCCTCCTGGCGGGCAGAGGGAGGACTGATCAGTAGCCCACACTCGGCAGCCGAGTCTGGGCGGGGGCCGGGGCGCCCTCCAAGGTGGGCACGCGGGCACTCTCCTGGGGTGGGAAGAAGCCACGTCTGGGGCGCTGACCAGCCCACCTTCCATGCAGCCTGCTTCCCAGGGCCCTACCCCCAGGAAGCGTGGAAGTCCTCATGGGGTTGTGGCAGGGCCTGGGGGGCCGGCCGGCCTGGGGAAGGGTCCCTCCTGGTTTGGCCTGATGTGGCCTGGGCGTCTGGGCGGGGAGACTGGTCTTGTGTGGTCCTGGATCTGCCTTTCCTGGGGTCTTTCTTTTAACCTGCTGTAGGACGCGTGTACTCACCAGAGAGACACAGGGAGAGGGGAGTGAGAAAGCACTCCTAGGGCATGGCCATACCACAATCCCGCCTCCATTAGTTTTCCTCAGGACTTTGGGCACACATGTACATGCACCTGACATGTTTTTCAGACTTCTGGGCCCAGGACTCAAACCACGAGCATAGTTGACCGCGGGAGATCCAGTCACTTGAATCTCATCAGTGGCTGGCTCCAGGTTCCTTTTTTTTTTTTTTTCTTTTACCTGTGTGTTTAATTGGGGATCACTGTACCTTCCCATGCCGTTGTGGCCCCGTCCCGTGGCCCAGCCCCCAAGGGTCGCTCTGGTGGACCGGAGCACAGTAGCACACCCCGGCTGCTGACAGCACAGCCGAGACACAGCACAGGCCCGCACACAGGCCCCTCACGCCACCCCTCGTAGCCACACCTATGAGCCCCCCACCATAGGCAATCATTAATTCATTCTTCATCTAAACCTGGTCATTTCTTTTTTTTTTTTTTTTTGGAGAGGTTTTCACTATAGGGCGCATGCGCTCACCAGACAGACAGAGAGATACATAGAGACAGAAAGCGAGAAATCACCCCTACCCCAAGAGGGGATGGTCACGCCGCAATCCCTTCTCCTCCATTCTCCTCTCGGGATCTTGGGCACGCACACACACGCGCCCAGCGTGAGTTTTAAGCCACCGGGTCCGGGACGTGAACCGCGGTCGACTACGTGGGAGTCCAGCGACATAGCCATTACGCTAACTGCTAGTTCTCTAAACCTGGTCATTTCAAGGAGAGTGTGGCCCACCACGGCGGCAGGTACACTGCCAAAACCTGCCTCAGGGCAAGTCCCGCTCTGACCTGGAGGCCTGGTGTGGACTTGCGCACCTGAGATCCCAGTGACCAGAGAGCAAAGCAGACCGGGCAGCAGCCTGAGACCCCATGTAGAGAAAGAGCCACATGGTGGCACACACCTGTGGTCCAGCTGGGGCGGGGCCACACACGGCAGGGCCCTGCCTGAAAGAGGAATGCTTTATGGGTAGGACTGGACAGTAAGTCCCCGCCAGGGCCCCTCTCCATTCAGTCATCCCAGGTCGTGTGTGCAGTGTCCCAGGGCATGGTCACCTGGCACAGGCAGTCTGCTGTCCCCTTGTCAGGGCCATGCTGCGGAAAGCTGCGGAGGACACTCAGGGCTCCCTGCAAGTGATTTCCTGGGACAGGTGCTCAGACTGCAGTTGCCGCGCTGTTGGGAAAACTGGTTTTCCCGTGAAGAGACCAACAAATGCCTCCCGAGCAGTCGCTGCAGTGTCCGGTCCCACCAGCAGGTCAGAGGGCACCCTTTCCCGCCCAGCCGCAGTGCCGTGGCTCGCTGCAGCCTGTTACAGGTGCAATGCTAAGTGCCCCTGTGGTCGCAGCGTGCGTCTGCCCAGTAGCTAGCATGGCCGTCACTGCACGCACTCGGCAGCTCTCTCCTCCCGTTCCGACCACTTCTCATCGTTTTCTCCCTGCTCAGGGGTGAGTTCCTGGCTCTGTTCCAGGCGCCAGCCCCGTGCTGGCCATGCGGTCTGCACACGTTGCTCCAGCCTGCAGCCCGTCCTTGCCCTCGGCCTGGACTCTCGCCTGAGCTTGCCATTCTGTCCCATTGATCAGTGTCTCTTCCATCACCAATGCCACTAGTCTGTTACTGAAGCTAATGGACTCTGAACTGCGCCGATGGCTTCTGCGCAATGCACTCTTCCTTCCTGAGACTGGTGTAGCTCTTCTACTTCCTTCACCTTTCAATGTAAACTTAAACTACTCTCCTCCATGTCTATAAGCGGAAGCTTGGATTTTTAAAACAGGAATTGCATTAGCCATTAATCCATTTTCTGAGGGCTGTCTCCCCTACGTTCTCAATTCATGAACATGGTATATACCTCCATTTATCGGCTCTCCTTTGATTTCTCTCATCAGTGTTAAAGGCCAGAACAACAGTGGCTTTTTATTTCAGTCGAGAAATCAGGGACCACCAGGTCCTACCTGCCACGTGCCCATGAGACCTCGCAAGTGGAATGGGCTTGATCCACGCTCGCCGGGAAACAGCTGGTTGTCAGGATCTGCCCCCACAGCCCGGAAGGAAAAGGCAGGTGGTGGCCAGAATAAAGGTGGCATCTTCCTGCCATCCCACGCTCTTGTTCCTGCAGAGATGCTGAGGGGTGAGGAGCATGGGGCGGGTTGATAGCACCCCTGAGGAGGGAAGGAGTCAGTGAGCTCGGGACAGTGGGAAGACAAGTTTCTCTTAGCGGCAATTTCTCCGCAGTCATGGACGGCTGCTCCTAATCGTGCGCGGTTTGGTGGGTATGTGCTTCAGTTACAAAGCATGGCTGCTGGGACGGGGTGGAGGCTGAGGGTGAAAATGGCGCTGAGTCCAATGGAGAGGTCAGGGGACCTAAGGCTCAGGAACAGCACCGCGGGCAGCTGCGGCACTTCCTGGTGAGTGGCTGACCTCGCTGGCCCGGCTCCTCAGCTGACCCTTGGAGGGGGCGTGAGTAGGGCACGCCCCGTCACGGCCATGTCTAGTGAGCACCGGCTCGGGGCCCGCCGGGGGGG